GAATTCTGGGAGTTGAAGTCCACACAGCTTAAAGTTGCCAAGGTTGAGAAACACTGATTCAGAGTATGGTTTTTAAGAGGAAAAAGAACTGACTAAAGATGTGAAATCAGTCACCCACAAACATTTAAAATAAACATTGCGCATCAGAGTATAACCAAGAGGAAGTTCGAAGCAAATATTTATCTACAGTGTTTTTAGCAGTTTTTCTTCTAATTTTTTCTGTATTCTTAAATAACAAAGAGTGGAGATTTTGGCCCTTGGCTCATCCATTTATTGAGGATTTTTCTTCCTTCCTTGCTCAAGGCATCTGCTTCTGGATGCTTGGAGACCAGATTTCTCCAAACCAGGCGTTTCAAGTGTGTGAGCTCCCCACATCTTTGCAACTTTCCTCATAAGGTTTGGTTTCTGGCTCCTTCACCAACTTGGTTCCTCTTCTCCGATGCCCACCATCTTGTACCTGTCTTGCTTGTAATGTCATGCCCAGAATTGGACACTGTGACTGAATACTTTATTCTAAGCTAGAGGTGGGCAACTTGAAGTACCCCAAGACCGTACCACCACCATTTGACTGATCTCTGCCTAATTTTTAGTAGTGGAATCTGTATTTTAATTTTGGAACTAAGGGTGGACATGGGAGAGAACACTTTGAGCAAACAGCTTCACCTTCTCCTTGAAAATCCCTCAAACCATGAAATTTTGAGGTTTTTCTGGCTGTTTTTGTGAGAGTGCCAATCTTTTTAAGGGTGTGGTTTCTCTCCCAACCTAAAAAAACATGGGAAAAGGGGGGGGGAACCAGCCTCATTCCTTCCTCTGATGTCATCATCTCTGAATCAGACTGTAGAAAAGTTGTTCCCCTTGTTCTAAAGCCATGGCTTGCTGAATGAGCCACCATTAGATGAGTTCACATGACAGAGACTGAGTTCACCCTTCACACAAAACCACCGTTGGCTTAAACATGAAAGCCTGCAATTAGTTGATCTAAGCCATAGATCGGTGACACTCCACATGTGGTCAGTGGACCACTGGAGGTCTATGAAGGTCCACCAGGTGGTTGCTGCAGCCTCCCACGTCCACCATCCAGAGCGTGCTTGCTGCTCAGCCCCTGCCTTAAGTATTTTAAGTAAATACTTAAATTTGGATGACCTTTTTTGGAATACAAAATTTATTTTAAGAAGGCCTTTTAAAATGGAGAGGATGACAAGACACACACACACTTATTTATTTATATTTCAAATTTAGATACTGCCCATCTCACCAAAAGATGTGAATTCTTTTGCTTTTGAAGATGAACACATAGGGGGAGGATGTTTTATTTAATGGAATGCCCCCCCCCCATTTTTCAAATGATTGTTTAGTGGCCCTGGATTCTAGGCAGCTTGAGAAAATTTACTATAGGCCATCGCTGACAAGCCAGTCTTTTATTAAATGGGTCTGTGTTAGATGCTCATTTGATCCTATAAGATAAATGTTCTACCCATCCATTTTTGGAGTACAAACCTACTGTTGCACTTTCTTTATCCCGACATATAAAGGAATGAAAAATGCTTAGTCTGTTGTATCGTCTAAGCCACCTGCACGTCTGCCAGGCCCAAATGCCATCACAAAAATGCCATTAATTATCTAATGTGGGTCCAATATATCACCCCTATTCTAGCCAGAATAGATTCTTTTTCTTTTCCTGAACTGTTACTACTGTTGTGCGTTAGAGTGCATGTATTTATTATGCTTTAATTTCATTAAACGGATAGGCCACCAATTACTGAAATGTTGAATGCTCCGAATCATGATATTAAAGCGGACTTTATCTTAAGCATTGTTCTGGGTTGCAAAAGCAGCAGAAGAATATTTCTAAGGGCACATGAAATGTTAGAAAGGGTAAATATATAACCTGTGAACAGAAACAGGTGGAAGTGCAAAAAACCCAAGGAAATCGATGAACGAAGCGGATAGGCCCCTGGGTTTCTAATAGCTTCTCCTCAAATTGCTCCAGCTTTGGAAGGCAACAGGATGAAGCGAACGCCAGATAAAAAGGAAAGCTGTGATCCAGCTGCGTGTTTCTGCAGGGCTCCCCTGCGTTGACATAAAGGTGTTTGCAGGTGTTCCTTGGAGGGTTTCCTGTTACTTGGCACAGAGCAAAGCACTGCAGTTCGGTATTGGCTTCGCAACAAAAGTCAGAGGGCGGTTCAATTAGTCAGTAATCATTGCATTACTTTGTAGGATGAATTATCTATCAGCCAGTTCCTGTGGGCATGTGAAAATCTTATCTATCTATCTATCATCCATCCATCATCTATCTATCTATCTATCTATCTATCTATCTATCTCTCTATCTATCTATCTCTCTATCTATCTATCTCTCTATCTATCTATCTCTCTATCTATCTATCTCTCTATCTATCTATCTCTCTATCTATCTATCTCTCTATCTATCTATCTCTCTATCTATCTATCTCTCTATCTATCTATCTCTCTATCTATCTATCTCTCTATCTATCTATCTCTCTATCTATCTATCTCTCTATCTATCTATCTCTCTATCTATCTATCTCTCTATCTATCTATCTCTCTATCTATCTATCTCTCTATCTATCTATCTCTCTATCTATCTATCTCTCTATCTATCTATCTCTCTATCTATCTATCTATCTACCTACCTACCTACCTCTTTCAAGTCAGTGTTGACTCCTGGAGATGGCCTGGACAAGTCCCTGCGGTTTTCTTGGCAAGGTTTTTCAGAAGTGGTTTGCCACTGCCTCCTTTCTAGGGCTGAGGGAGAGTGACTGGCCCAGAGTCACCCGCTGGCTTCGTGCCTAAGGCGGGACTAGAACTCACAGCCTCCCACTTTCTAGCCTGGTGCCTTCACCACCACACCCAACTGACGCTCTTCCTCCCTCCTTCCCTCTCTTTGGATGTAATTTTGGACCCTGAACCTAATTCTGGCGAGGAATGAAATTTGGATCAATGAAGCTTAGGTGAGCAAATCCATCGTCCCATCTTCTCAAGCTGGACCAGTCCTGACCAGCGTCTTCCTTCGCGTCCTGGCCGGAAGGGGGTTCTCCTGGGGAGCAACCTCCAAGTTACGCAGGTGTCAAGGTCTGCCCTTATGGTCCTCTGACTGGGATGAAGGGCCTGTAGCCTTTCAGATGATGCTCAGCTACAACTCCTGGCAGCCGCAGCCAAATTGTGCCTTATTTAATAGCCCCCAGGGAGGGAAAACAGGGCTTAGCGAACCACAGGAAGGCTTCACGAACACGCTCAACCGCTTTTCGCTCCTGCCGAAGTTAGTTGGCACCCTCTTTTAAGAAATCCTTACAGGCAGAAAACTGCATCCCAGCAGGAGGAAATTAAAGGCACTTCCACCCGACATTTGATTCTCCCGGGCGGCTGGGCGCCGCGGCAGGACTCCCGATCTTCGGCCTTTGATTGCCAGCGGGCGCAAAGGAGCCGGGGAGAGACTACCTTCTCCACCTGCTGCATTTCCACGTGCAGGGAAGGCCCGGCTTGCTGGCTTGCTTCCTTCCTCCCGTCCCCGAAGGCGCTGCGCCCACTCCGCAGCGAAGACGGCTCCCTGCCAGCGGGGGCCGGGCCAAGCTGCGCGGGGCGAAGCGCCCCCACCCCGGGCGCGCCCGGCCCCTTCCCCCGAGCTGCTAGCTTGCTAGGCGCGGGGGCGAGGGCAGAGCCGCTCCCTCCGGCGCCGCCGCGCAAGTGCGGCGGCCTCCAGCCCTCCCTGGCCCGCAGGAGCCGCCTTCCGAGAGGCGGAGCGGGCCGCCCCCCCCGCCAAGGTGCGGCGGCCTCCACCCCCCCCTGGCCCGGGGGGGCCGCCTTCGGAGAGGCGGGGCGGGCCGCCCCCGCAGCCAATCCCCGGCGCCCCGGCCAGTGGTCGGCCGAGCCAGCGCGTCGGC